GAAAAAAAAAAAAAAAAAAAAAAAAAAAAAAAAAAAAAATTGTAAAATCAAGCTTAGAACAAACTTTCTACAATGTTTTCACATTATTTAGCAATAAAGTATAATATCCATTCCTGCAGATAGGTTACTATTTAAACATAGCTCTAATCAAGTGTAACAAATTTTCTTAGCTACAAAGGAACTCTGACCTAATTTTACATTAGTTTCTCTCTCATTGTTACCCACAGGATATGCCAGAAGATTACATTTACTGTACATCAAGTAGAAGACTGATTCACTGGCCTTTCCAGGAAAAACAGAGAATTGGCATAATATATGAGTATATACCAGCTACATCTTAGCAAGTAACATGTAAGAGAAATATTTTCTTGGTTAACTAAATTGGAGCAATTTCAATCAATTAAGATAAACCATAGTTGCATCAGAACAAGCTATTTTTTATAATGGAATATTTTATAATAGAAAGCATTAACCCAAGACCCTAAACGAGAAAATCCCTATGTAAGGCAAATGGTGAAATCTGAAGAAACAGGAGCTAGAAATAAGAAACGACGGCAAAAAACTCTGTGGAATAGAGAACCTGAACAACAAAAAATTGAGTACTCAAAAAGCCTGGAAATGAAACAAGGACATATAAACAGTTATTAACCCACAGTTTTGCAAAACAGAGCCATTTTCAATGGGGCGGGGGCAGAACATCTCATGGATGGTATCTCAGAAATACTCTATAACATCTTAGGCTATACACAAAATAGGTGAATGCATTTTGCAAGAAATGTACCAAAAAAACAAGCAAACAAAAACACACATGTAGGATTTCCATGTGTATAACAAATCAAAGCAAACCTAGGAAGAAAATAAGCCAAAAACCCAAAAAATGAAAGGAGGTGAGGGTAGTCAAAAATAACAGAATTTTAGAAATAAGACTAAATAAATCATTTACTTTAACATCCTTATTTCATAGATGAGGAAACTGAGGCACACAGAATGATACATAAATTCCCAATGTCAGATTAAAGTTGATAAGGAAAAAAATCTAAAGTTGATGTATAACATCTGCAGGAAAATAGAAGTTCTTTCTTATTTCATGAACCATATATGTTAATAAGGTACACCACATGGCTGGCACATATCACAGGACACTATATTTTATCAGAGGACATGAGACCCACAGAGGACAGCAATGCAGACTTTCTATTGCTGGAGTGTAGGCTCCTTGAAGGCAGTCTGCCCTGTGCTAAATAAATATTTGATTTTTATTTCTAAAACAACCAAGCTACAATTCTGTGTGAATGTTTTGTGTTGTTTTGTTTTCTTAATAGGGAACTCTAAAGATTTAAAGGTAAGATTTAAAGAATAAAGCAAGTCAGTGTTTGAATACAAACTGAAAATACAGTATGTTTTTCATCCCCCCCCCCAAAAAAAACCTACAAATAACTTTAACAAATATACTAATTTACTAATTTAAAATGTAGGCCTGATAAATACGTTTAGTTGCTTGGTTTTGAAACTGATATAATAAGGAAGTCTTAATGTGATCTTCAAGAATCATCCTGGAGATAGCCATTTATTTTTCCAGGCTTCAAAAACATAAAATAAAGATAGAGCATTTGGGGCTTACTGGATTAATGCTGATTTTTTTCACCTCTGAAGTGCTGAATTTAAACTGTATATGGCCTCTATTCAATTTTGAGTGGGCACAGGTCCATGTTCAAAAACCACCACACATGTGGGAACTATTCCCAAGAAATTGGTGCTGTGTGGTCAGAAACCGGACAAGATTGGCAGTAAGCATGCCAGAGGCCAGGACGCAGGTGCACTGCAGAGACGCACAGAAAAGTCCTAAAATCTGCTTATGTTTGAGGCATACCTAACTCTAGAGACTCTGATTGTTATTACTTCTCATGAGCATTAAAAAAAAAAAAAAAAAAAATCAACATCACCTACTTCAGTTGTAAAAAAATCAATGGATATTACATAATAGCATCAACGATTTTACCATTCTATTATTAAACATTATATCATTTCCTTAAATCTCATGCCAGAACCAACCCAGATATCCATTAAAGGGGGAGATACAGAAGTTCTCTTTCCATGCCCCGCTCAAAGCGTTCTGGCTCAGGCCCTTTTCCCCCTCTCCGTAAAAGAAAAAAAAAAGGCATTTATTTCCGAGGTATAAAAATAAGTAAAATAATAGTTTTAGCCCTCACATTTCTTTGCCTATCATGACACACCTGGAACACAAACTAAATACTTGTCTGCAATTTCAAAAAGTAAAAAGTGTCACGCCCAACAGTTTCATGGGACTTCTAAATCAGCTGGTAGCCTTCATCACTCACACCAGTTTTCTAAAATGCACTTGGGAATATGCTGACAAGGTTTAGCAATGTGCAGAATATTAAATATCTTTCTTGCAGTACACCGGTGGCTTATGTCTGTCTCTTACTGTGCCACATGTACAGCTGTGCTGGAAAAGGAAGCTATTAAATATATTAAAAAACTGGAAATATTACCAATAAAGATACCTCATCAAATATGTGGTCCCCATTTATCCACAAAGTAAGAAAATGTTAAGCATTTAATAACATATGAAAATCACTTTGAATGCAATAACATCACAAGCACTGATGATAACATTGAAAAACATTTTCCCCAAAAAATTCTAATCAATTTTATATAGTAGCCAGTAGAGAATTTCTGTAGGGAGAGTCTACGACATTAGAGTATTGCTCATGGCCAAATTTATTGTAACTATGACTCTGCCAAAGAAAAGGAGTAAAACAAGAAGGAACTTTAAAAGGTTATTTCATACTGAGAATCTTTGGGTTCACACTTGGGCCTTCTTTCACTTGGAAAATTTATATTTCCAAGAAGGCCTGTAATACATTATTCATTAATACTGAAAGTACTGTAAATGAAATAAGAAATTTTAAATTACAATATACTTAAAAGTTTACATTCAAAACACTTTAGTATTATATTCTAAATGTCACCCAAAATTGGCAATTTGAAACAAATTATTTAGGAATTACCCATTTTTCATTTTAAATTTGAGGAAGAACCCCTCAGAGCAAATGGAATACCACCTTTTAGGCATCAAACAGTTTTATTAAAATCATTGATACATATCCAACTTTTACACATTTGAAAAACTTTTTGCCCTCCTTTTAAAATATTTTCATCTCCTCAACTAGTTTAAATATTTACTGTTTTTCCTCTTTCATTCCTAGTACTTCTTATCTCTTTACCCTTTTATCCTACATATATTAAATCTTAGGTAAAGACCTGATTTTAAACAAAACAAGAAAACTCCAATCAAGAGAAGCCTGCAGAAAGATATGCATAGAAAAGAACAAGAAACAGTTGTTTTAAAATATAAGAAATTAACATAAACTTCAAGAAAATTATCATTATAAAAAAGTTTTTAAAAACCTAAGTAAATTTCAGTCACGACTGAAAGAAACACCAAAGCTATTTTGGAAATTTGACGTTCTCCAACCTGTATTTTTCTTCCATTAAGCCCATTAACCTTCATGTTGTCTCAGACTAGAAAAATTACAGTATAAGTTTCAGGAGGGCTGAGTATACCTATCTTTGAAAGCATACTATTTTTTTCAATTTAAGACATAATATGCTAGTGTTAATTTATATTATGATTTTTAAATTAAAATATATCTAATGCAAACTGTAAAGTCATACTAAAAAGTCTATGTTTTCATTGAAGATGTCATTAAATCATTTAATCACAAGAATTTATCATTGTCTCCAACTTTACAGCATTTAAAATGGTCTAAACACACTACCTTTGCAGAACTAATTCTGAAGTAATAACTGATATATTGCAAATGCAAAGGAAAATGTTGGTGTGATCAAGGTTGTACATACTTTCGAAACTTTTTCTTTTAACAGCTTTAGTCTCCATGAATATGTACAGACCCTGAAAAATCGTTGAGCTAAAATAAAGGCCAACTGTGTTTATGAAGCTGAAATGAAATATTGAGTTCTAAATTTAGTAATTTATCTTTTGACAGCCATAGAGTTCAACATACATACATACATATACATACATATATATATATATATACACACATATATATATATATATATACACACACACACACACATTACATTGGCTGATTTAATTTTCTGATCTTCCATTCCATGGAAAATTGCAATGTTTAAAGGTCATAAAAATTTATACGTACATTAAGGGTTAGTTGGTCAACACTGTGATTTCGTCCTCTTATAAGTAGTGAAACAATGTTAATATACTTAAAATCCAGGGCAAAATATTCAATTCTTTAACGAATGTTTACTTCAAGCAGAAATGAGAAAATAACGGATCATTAATGACGCCATGTAAAAGATGTTTCATCACAAGGGCTATTTTTGCTTCAGATTCATGCAAATATGGTGCTTAAAACTGGGTCGTATTTCAATCCAAAAACCATTGCCCCCAAGTACACAAAAAATTTCCAAGAACAGAAAATCCATAAATAAGATATAGTTAAACTCCCCAAAATTCAAAATAAATTACATAACTTACTCTGTTTTCCTTCTTTGTTTGTCCTCAAAGATGTCATTGAGATTGATTGCCACCTGCCCTAAAAACTTATCCAGTCCCACTAGGGACCTGTGCATAACTATGAGGAAAAGAATGTATTTCTCTGGATTCCCCTGCATTAGCAATCCAGGTAGCTCAAAAGAGGCCTCTTCCTTCCAGACTGGCTCAAGGGTTTTCTCAGCTACAGAGGTGGAGTACTTTTCTTTGCCCAGCTGAATTATAGTGTATGTGTCATTGGTGCCACTCTTGCCTTTTGGCTTCAGATCTTTGGCTTGGAGCACTGTGACCTGCACGTGCGTTGGAAACCACTTTTGGGCTTGCTCGGACAGCATCGTTCTGTCCTTTTTCTCTGCACCGAGTTCACAAGCGCAGGCAGTACCCCCCGGAGGGAAAGCTAATTCCTCAATCACTGCATCCTAAGGGCACTTAATGGAGACGGGCAGGCTCTGGGCTGCCCACTTCCCTAGGCTGAGGTCACCACACCCCACGGGGGCAGCGCGCGGGCACGGCTGCTCCGGGGTCCCCTGTCCTCTGCACAAGCACAGGGGTCCACCATGCCCTGCCGCGCCCTCCAGGCCTCCGCGCGAACCCCCGCGCCTCGCGTGTCGCCCTTCCCCGCTGGGCCGGCCCTCAGCTGTGGGCGGCTCCCGGGCCTGCGGGCAGGTGAGGCCCGGACACCGGGGCCCGGGCGGACACGGGAGGGGCCCCCGCCCCAATCCTGCACCCCCGCCCCCCGCCTGCCTCCTCGCAGCCGGGCCTGCTCGGCGCCTCCCGCCCCGCTCCGCGCTCGTCCACGGACCCGGGCCGGCTCCTCCTCCCGACCCCGGTAATACGAACCGCCGGCGGCTCGGGCGGCCTCGCTCGCTCTCGCAAACCTCTCCCTCCTCCTCCTCCTCCTCCTCCCCCCCCCCCCCCCCCCCCCCCCCCCCCCCCCCCCCCCCGTATGCATAGTTATCTGACAAAGTCTGACTTTATCTATTGTCTTAACTCTCCTTCGTAATAACTTCGTATAGCATACATTATACGAAGTTATACGAGGGCTCGGCCTGGCCGGCCGGCGGCTCCTAGCACCGGGCGGGCGGCGGCGGCGGCGGCACTTCCGGGTTGGCCTTCTCCATGTTGATCTCGGGAACGCGAAGGGGCGGGGCCGGGCGGGGCCGTGGGGTCAAGGGTCAGCACCTCCCTGGTTGCCGTGGCGACCGGAGGCGCGCGACGCGGCGTTGCGGTTGGGACATCCCTGCCAGGTGCTTGGTGTTGCTCAGGCCCGGCCCAGGAGGGCCCTGGGTAGAGCTGGGACCTCTGCTGGAGGAGGTCACCAAAGCCCTGGAGACTGCCCCCAAAAGGGAGAGACCCCACCTCAGTCTTCGAGGGTAGGGATCTGTCTTTGCTGTGCCCGGGATGCCCGGTGCCTGGCACACAGCAGGCGTTCGCTACGTGGTGGTGGAATTAATCAGTCCTCTTCATTGACCGCTTTCCCTCAACCTCTTATCCAGTTTTCTCTTTCTGAAAAGAGAGAAACCTGTGAATTAACTGAAAATGGCATCCCCCCGTCCAACGAAGGAAGAGAGAGAAGCAACTAAAATGTTCCAGGACTGTCACAGGGATTAATAAAGATTACAGAAGGCGCTGGGCCGGCGCCACACGACGTGGTTCCAGCCTCACCTCTGCCACCATCAGTCTGTTTGACCTTGGTCGAGTCATTCCACCTCCCTTAAAGGGTAAACTGAGGACGCCATCGTATCTGGGACCCCATCACGACTCTGTGAGCTCCACGTCAAAAGCACCCCAACCACCCACCGCTCAGCTTTCAGTCGGGTGAACTATTCAGATCATGTGGAGACCATGCCCCAACATCAGAAGCATTGGTTGGGGGGAGTATTATGAGATATTACATGTACATTTCCTAGCACAATATGGCACATCATTCTAAGTCTCCCTTTGCCTCTATTTCTCAGTTACAGGAGATGCTTATATATTACCTCTACTACCTTTATTTCTGTTCATGTCTTCCCAAGGAAATTCTAAGTTCTTTGGACTGCCTTGTGCGTAATGCAGTCCCTTCATAGTGCCTAGCATGCTGTAGACACTCAATTTATTGAATGACTTAATGCCTTTCCTTTCTTTTTTTTTTTTTTTTCCTTTTTGTCTTTTTACCTTTCCTTTCTTTACAAGACTAATTTTGAGAGTAAAACAATATGATAGATGAGAATGCAGTTTTTCAACTTAAAATGTCCATAAAAGTGTAAGGTCCTGTGTTTATTATTTTCAGGAAAGGTTTAAAACTTCTGCATTATTTTCTTTCCCTGGGAGACAGAGTATGAAAAGGCCATGTGTGGAAAGTAGAACGACATCATTGAACTGAGAATACAGCATCTGGATCCCAGAGTGGGCAGTTGTCAACTTTAAAGAAAAATATTTTTAGGGAATTTTAAAGAGTACATTGGAACAGTCAATGGAGGAATTTCACCAGGATCTCCAGGGAGAAATAATTGACACCTGAAATTTACAAAAACAAGATAAGCATCGTGAAATCAAATTTAATTGTTCAGAATTTTTCCAAATTGCATTTTTAAAAGTCTTCATGTCTCTGTTAAAGGTTGTAATTAAATAAACAATAGGCAATTAATTATAATAATGGATGTGTGTTTCTAAAGAGCTTAAATTGTTTGGTAAGCTTTATTAATGATTACACACGTGTTTACAAGTATCATTTCACTCATCTCTGAAATATAGCCATCTCCAGGGTGGGAGTTGGCAGCAGTAGTTCACAGCAACGCAATAACATACTCCAATACAATTCAGAGAATACTCTAAAGGCAAGAGCTGAACAACTGGAATTACTAACCTCTCTTCCTGTAGCACCTAAATTGCTTTTGAGTTTTCCCAAAACCTGGCTAGCACCAAAATTGTTTAGTTTTATTAACTGGCAAGATAAGAAGTTATGGTTTAATGTTTTTAAGCCAGAATAAGAAAATAGCATATTTTTTGCCCCTTGGGGAAGCAAATAAACAAACCAACCAAATAAGCTAAATAGAATCTGGAATTGTGTTATAAAGGGGAAGTAATTTCCTATAGATATTTCTCTTTCTTGATTATATTAAGAGAATAAAAACATGTCAGGTCAAATATGTGTTTGGCTCATAGTGAAAAATAATGGCAATTACGTCATATCTGAGATCAAAGTGGTTCTGCCTAAATGTTTATTGTCTGACAGTTTTAAAAATTCTTTTTACTAATTTTAAGATATACATAGACGGTAATTTTTAAAGGGAAGAAGGATTGCGTGCATAAGGACAACATACCAGAATCAAAGAGAGTCACTTTTTTTAGTATCCTGTGACTAATGATATATCCGGAAATGTTTGGTACAATTCCAAAATCAAGGGTTTGGGAAAATAATATATTTTATGGGAGGAAAATGCTGAAAATCTATTTTTAAACTGTTACAATGCCTGCTGCAGTGAATAAGAATTATTTGACCAGAAAGTTAAAATAGTAAATGTTTATGAGTGTACTTCAGAAAGTTTGTGGAAGAATGGAATTAAAAGATAATACAAATCTTACCATGAACTTTTTGAAGTACCCTCATATGCCTCAGGAGCAGAGGATTTCATAGATGAAAATATTTACTAAGCGTTGTACCTTTCAGTAAAGTCCCATAAGGGGACTTATTATTCCAAGCGTTGTGGAAGATTTTCCCTTTGGGCATCAGCATCCCTAAAATCACATCTTGCAAATCTATTTTAGGACAATTATAATGCTATCAGTGCTTAAGTAGCCCACTGGGTCAAGCGTGTTAATGCTCTGATATACATTATGTAATGGATATTAATTATTTTCCAGATGGAGATGGAGATTCAGAAACATAAGGGCAGGAAGAGCACTCCCAAGGTGTCATTACAATCTTCAGACTCCAGATACACACACACCTTGCATATATATATACAACTGAAATGTATATAAAATTCATACATGTATATATATGGCAAAGCCCCAGAGTTATGTTGGAGATACATGGATACATAGATCAACCATAACCAATCAAAAAGTAAAACAGTATTTGACAAATTGATTTGAAATTATAATAGCAATGAACTAGTATCGGGGGGTTTTTGGTGGTGGTTTGGTTTTGTTTTCATCACTGAGCTGATTAATTTGTCTTCTGGGACTGTGCAGTGTATGGACACAGTTTGTGATGCATGGGAAACAACGTGGTGTGTAATGTAAAGAGCTCTAGCCAGCTGCCTGGGTCTTAAATCCCTACTCTGCCTATTACTGACTATGTATCTTTAGGGAAGTCATTTTTCTTCTTGGAGCCATCTGTAAAATAAAAGTCTATAATAGCAGCCACCAAAACATCTTCTAACATTTACTAATTCTAAGCAGTATGTCCACAACACAAAGAAGCAAATTGTGTTATAATAATCTAATTTAATTTTGTCAATATACTAAAGCAGATTCCTTTTTTATGTAACTTATTAATGAAGGATCCTCTAATTCAGGAGAAAAAAATTCTTCAAAATGTCCTGAGCACTCTGTCTTAAATGAAAGTAATTAATGATCACAGAAAGCAAGTAAATATAAATGTCATTAATAGGCCCTGCATGAGGAAATTGAACCAACAGCTCAAGATTTGGAAGAAATTACATGTAAGTGCAAGTGGTTTTGAAAAGTCTTAAACATTTCACTTATAGGAATAAACATAATTTCTATTTGTATAATTTGTAGCTTTTTTGAACTATGAAGACATACTGAGGAGGGTAAGAATTTATGGAGCAGAATATCTATTTGCACCTAAGAATTTGTTGTGTGGAATCTTTTAATTTCCTCTTCATGGTGTCATACTATTATGTTATACAATTTTTATTCCCTCAGCAAAATCAGTGTATGTTAATGCATAGAATGTGAATTGAATTCACTTTAACTGTTATATGTTATTGGGTGAGATGAGTAAGCTTCTTTTTCTCTTTTCTCCTTCCAAAGGACATTTAAGTTGTTTCCAGTTTTTCAACTGTCATAAACAAGGCTGCACAGACATTCATGTGTGTCTCCTATGCACATGTGCAGGGATTTCTTTCTTTCTTCTTGTAATTGCACCTCTTTTTGACAATTGACAATGAAATTATTGGGAGCTCATGAGTAATAGCATGGGAAACCCAGGGACCTGAGCATCAGAAGACCTGAGTTCTAATCCTGGTTCTACAAACTAAGAAGTTGTAGAATTGGTAAACCATAATCTATCCGTGCCTCCGAGGCCCCTTCCGACTCTAGAATTCTCAAAGTTCTTTTATTATATTTACTGAAAAACAGAGATTATTGCTATTGGAAGAAGATTTTTGTGAATACTTAGGTATTTGTCTTCAAATTTCAATTGTCTCATAATCGTGAGTCTTTCTGAAATCTTCTAGAACGTTGCTACTTAAGTGGACTTAAGTGGACGTTAACAAGGATTGGGGAACTTTGATTATTACTGAAATGATTATCAGTTACATAAACTTATCACCCTGTACTTTGTAAACTTTTAAGTTTTATGTTCAGTTAAAATTCAAGATGGCATTTTTTTAACAAAATAATAAGGGATTCAAATTATAATATTTCTGGAATATTCTGGAATATATAATATTTCTAGAGATTTC